TCCTGTTCTGTGTCCTTTCTTGCTGGAAGAAAGCCTGACCCTGGAAGTCAGGTCTCCAGCATACATCATAAAGAGATCATTTTCTCTCTTCTAAAATGAAACCAACAGAAAGCAGTATGGTAGGTTGCCTATAAATATAGACAGCCCTAATGTCTTTGATTTGTGCTTTTCTTTTAGCCTCCTCCATAGAAGGCTGGGTAGGAAGCATGCTATCTTCTTTATATGCAGAAAGACTCGAAGGTCTGTCCTGGCTTCAAATGACCCCAAGCTCCCTTAGGTGCAAGTCTGTCACTGGAATTTAACCCCAGCCCATCTTGTGACTGTTTAAGTTTCTGTCTCTCTGCTCTGGTCTCTCCCTGGAAATCCCTAGGCTGTGTATGCAAATGTCTGACCTTTAACCTAGCCACGTCTGTCTCTGAACCTCCTTTATTAAGAGTCCATTAGGTAGAGGCAGGTAGAGGTAGTGTTCTCAAAAAGAGAGATTTGCTATAAGGATGGAAGGATGGACCTCTCAGTCCTCATGTTGGGCACTGGTCCTTAGGATGGGATGAGAAACAACTAGAAAGTTGAAAGCCCTCCTATTCTCCACCAACCTTCTCTCTTTCTCTGTCTCTGTCTCTCTGTCTTAGTCTGTCAGTCAGTCTGCCTGTCTGTCTGTCTGTCTCTCTCCTTGCCTCTGTTGGAGCATTTTCTTAATGCTCATGGGGGAGCGGGGTTGGCTAGTCCACAGAGATCATGTTAACACAGATTTCAGGCATTCAGAGACTGACTTCTGACTGTAAATTCCTGAGTCTTTGGGTGTTGGGAATAACCAGGCAGCATAGTTGTGAGCTCTGCCAGCATCTTGCTTGGGTTCTGGAAGTCACCTTTCTGAGTCCTTGCCTCTCTTGAGGCCTGGGTATAGGTTTATAATGAGCATAGCGAGTGTCAGTGCCTTTCCAGTGAGACCCGGAATTTTCTGATGCTCTCTGGCAGCCCTTTTGCTCTGCCTGAGGGGAAAGAGTAAACTTTAATCTATCTATTCAGTGAGCATTTATTGAACCCTGCTTGGCTCCACACTCAGAGAATATAGTTCATGCTCACCAGCCAAGGCCTACAATCTGGTGAGGAAGTAAGGGATTGTAAAGCACCAATTGGAACTGTCCTGTGCTTTGAGGGTGCTGAAGTTGAAAATGAGGCCAGGTGTGAGATGAAGCTGCTTTAGGAAGGCCTGCCTAGGCAGCGGGAATGGTAAGCTATACCTGAAAGATGAGCTGAGGCCTGCAAGGCAAAGCTGTATTTGTTTTCAAGGAAAGTAAATGGAGATCTAAGAGAAAAGGCAAGTGTGTGTTGGGGTGGTGACAGGGGGCTATGCTGAAAATAGAACTGTAGATCATGGGTCTGGATACAATCCCAAGTAGAAAATCCCTCATTACACAGATTGCTGCTGGCACACAATCCATTAAGGAGCAAAAATCCAAGTCAGAGATTATACTGGAACCTACTCTGATGTCCTGAGGTGGATTTAAAAAGCAAGCCAACAGATTAAAGATGTGTTGCTAAATAAGTAGAATGTTTGCCTGTTGTATATAGAACCCTGGATTTGATCCCACCCTAGCTCCATGTAAGCTGGCCATAGTGGTACACTGAATGCCTGTAATCACAACCCTTGGGAGGTAGAAGCATAAGGGCTAGGAGTTCAAGGCCATCCGTGGCTACAAAGTGGATTCAGGTCTATGCTAAGATATGTGAAAAATTCTGTATTAAAACAAGCCAAACATACCGTTGTTCTATGAGTTAGATTATATATATTACCTGGGAGGCAAGGCTATTGGACAATGTCATCTCTGGGATGGAGGGTAATGGGAGACCAGACAATTGATTTTCTCAGCTTGACTGTCAGAGCATTCCAGAACAGAGAGGCAATGCTGTTTGTTGTTCCGCTCCCAATCAGCTGAGCGTACCATTCTGACATATGACATAAGGTGTTATCATAAGGTGTTATGGGTCATGTTCACACTGTGCTAGAAATGATAAGCCTAAGATGTCTGGCCCAGAGCCCACTAGTTGTTTCTGGCCCAGGATAGTTATCAATGTAGCCCAACACAAACTTGCAGATGTATTTAACACTGCACGATATTTTAGTGATTTCTTTTTGTAAGTTAGTTGTGTAGTTTTAGGTGTGAATTTTATACATAATGATGATGTCCTTTCCTGTCTCAGTGTCAAGGTTGGGGGATATTTACTTGTGGGTAGAATTGAATATTTGTACCTTAGATACTGCAGTGCATTAGTGTTTGATGTCTCTTGCTTCTGTGACGTCATGACGCTTTGAGGGAGCTCTGGATCTTGGGCTGAGCCATTCTTGTTGACTGTATGTTGCAAACAGGTCACAGTGAATGGTGCCATAAATGAAACAGATTAGATAACTATGCAGAAGCAGAAGCAGACAGCCACACATGCATGGGAATAAACTATGGTTATGGCTGGGCAATTCAAGAGGGGCTTTGTAAGAAGTTTAGAATGAAACACATGAATATTTAAAATATACACTGTAATTCACAAGGTTATGTGATTAAAGCACCATAAATTACTTCTCAAGGACTATCAAATGCTAAGCTTGGTAGCACACACCAGTGTTTTTCAACTACCCACGGTGCAAAAGTGTTGCTTAAGCCCAGGGGTACAAGGTCAGTTCCAGGTAACATAGAGAGACTTAACATTTTCTGAAAATATTTTCTAAATAGCACACTTCCTTGACATAGAAAACTCATGAGAAGACTATCCATGTTGATACCAAGTTAAAAGAGAGGTTCTCAGAAAGACTATGAATTTTATGGTTGTAAATTCTGGAGTACAGCCATTTTCCAGGAAGATGATCTGTAGCTTTTAATCTGATAAGATCTGATAAGCTTTTTACTGTCTTTCTTGAGAAAAAGATTTTCTTGATGTTTCTATCGTCTCGTCGTCATTGTCATTTGTTGACAGAATCTCAATAGTCATGGGAAAGGAAAGGTTAGAGAGTTATATTTAGAAGTTGGTAAAATGAGTGCAATGGGGGAACTTTGTCAAGAGTCCCCAGGCCTGAAATTGCGCCCATTGCTGTATTATGATGTACCAGGTTAAAGGGTCAATACTAACTACTGGTTGTGGTGTTATCAGGGAAGAGATGGGCAGACTGAGACAGTACTGAGTGGTTGTTAATACAGTTTTCATGTCTAGCCTCCTATCAGAAGGAGAGTAACCTCTAATTTTTACTACCACTTTTTATTATAATTAATTTAGTTGATCATTTCTTAATATTATTGATGAGAATTAATTATCTTTAACACATACTATGACTTTTTTTTTCCCCATTGGTGGAAAGAGGAACACTATGAAATTAAATCTGTATTATGGCATTAATTATTGAACCTCTTATCATTTTTGTTCAGTTGGGTATGAGTTATATTTAATGTAAGATTAATAATTCTCTTTTTTTTTTGTCTGAGTATATATGTATATGAGTGTAGTGTGCATACATGTGTATGTGTTCCTCTTCATAGATGCAGAAACCAAAGAAAGTGTCAGGTGTCTTCCTTCATTATTCTGCTCTTTAGGTTATTTGAGGCAGGGTCTCTCTGAACCTGGAGCACACAGGTTTTGACTAGGCTGACAGCTGACAACTGATCCTCCCATCTTATGCTGTGGTTATGGGTACTTGCAAGACCAGGACTGACATATTATTGGGTGCTGGGTTCTAAACTCAGGTCCTTATAGCCAGGCAGGACCTCCCTACTAAGCTTTTCATCCTGCGTGTGAGTTTGTGTGTATCGTGTGTGTCTGTAGGCCAGTTTTCCTGAGTGTGGGCGCACACTTGTGTGTGCATGCATCTGGAAGCCAAGTGATGATGTCTTGCATCTTCCTTGCTTGCTGGCTGCTTTATTTATTGAGGCAGAGTCTCTCACTGAACCCAGAGCTCACCGTGTGGGCTAACCTAGGCAGGAAATCCATGTGTCTGCTGGAATTGCAGGTGGGCTGCCTTGTCTACCAGGCATTGGCCTGAGTTCTGTGGATCTGGACTCTAGTCCTCATGCTTGTACGGTAACCCTAGGCCATCATCCCAGGCCAATGCTGGCAAATTTTATACTTGCTCTTTTCTTAAAGATTTATTTTTATTACTTACACGTATGTATGTCTGTATGTGTGTATGTATGGCGAATGAGTGCAGTGCTCACAGGGCTCAGAAAAGGGTATCAAATCCCCTGGAGCGGGAGTTCTGGGCTACCATGTGGGTCTTGAAAACCCAACCACGGGTATCTGCAAGAGCAGTCAGTGCTCTTAACTGATGAGCCATCTCTCCAGCTCCCTATACTTGTTCCTTTTAACTTTAAATTGGACTTGTCAGCACCACTTCTGGAGCTGGACTGATGTCAGAGGGCAGAGGAGATTAATTCCAGTTCTAATAACATAAGAAATATAAAAAAAGAAAGGCTCCGATGGTAACAAACTCCAGCAATAAAAACAACAACAAAATCTGGAGAGCTCTGAGAGAGGGCACATGCACTCTAAGCCCCCGCGTCCTTAACAATCCTAATCATTTAAGTAAGTTACACGTTGCCAGTGGAAACACTGCAAACCTGGGAGCCCCATACGAGCACACCAGTCTCTGTTGTCTGTGAGCTGGGACATTGGGAGACGACACAGAGGTATTCCATGGCTGTTTCTTATTGATCACTTACTCACACTGGATCATAAGAGGGATCTTCGTTATGGAGACCCTTAGATGGACATCGGTTCTAGTGGATAAAAAGGCTCTTGGGGGAGGTGTGAACTTTCAAGTCTGCAGTTTCATAGTTGATAGCAACATTTAGACTATCTAGACAGAGCTCCCCGGCTGGCTCTTTCTGTTGTAAGAAGGCAGGAGTGACAGCTCACAGAGCCAAGGTCCATGTGTAGAAGCATCATGTGCGGTCTCTGTATTCTACTCCAGTGTGTATTTTGCTTACATTTGTTTTGTGTCTTGAATTTTATTTTCCCAGGCACTTTGGAAAGGCACGAGACGGGAGAAAGGGCCAGGATTATTCTCAACGGTGGTGACGATGCGCAGCTTGTCAGGTCTGAGCCGACACTGTCAGTGGCCTCAGAGACACACAAGCACAAAAGTGTAGAGCAGAGGTCATTCAGCTCCCACCAGCCTGGGCTTGTGCCCTGCCCTGGTCTGCAGCTGGAGTCTTCATGTAAGGTGAGTTCCACAAGAACAGAGCATCTGGGGTAAGAAACAATGTGCATTTACAAAACATAGTGCTAACCTGTGGGCACAAAAGCAGGGACAGAGGTGATGGCACCTGCCCAGTGATGGTGGATGTAACAGGACGGGGCAGCCTAACTCTGAAGTGAATGTTATCCTTGCCATGTCATTTATGACAGTAGAGTTTCCAGCCCATCAAAAATTAAGTTACTATCCCATCAACTCACATCATAGGCTTTTTGTTTCTCATTTTAACAGTGGCAACCATATTCTGTAGTTTGGATCCACTTTTAATTCTTCAGTTGAATGTATTTGTATCGTTTACTCAGTCTTGCTGTTCATGTAAACTAGCTTTATTATTTTAATGTTCTAGACATGTGGTAGTGATTTAATCTAGTTTCTTTAAGATATTTTTCTATTTTTGTCCTTCATGCTATCTTCTTAGCATCTTTACCTATGCCATTTGTATGAACATACCTAGTATTTTTTCATGCAAATATTTTTCTCACAGTATTAGCTAATGAATTTCTATAATTTTTTTGTTTTGTTTTTAATTTTATTTTTTTCTTATCAGTTACATTTTATTAACTCTGTATCCCAGCTGTATCCTGCTCCCTCATTCCCTCCCAATGAATTTCTATAATTTTAGGGACCACTATATACTCTATATTTTATCACTCCTATTGCCGATATAAATGATTTTCTTATTAATTAATACTTTATATATACATTTCCAGTAACATGTTAGAACCTAAAGGTTATTAGGAAATCAAAAGTGGGGGTAGGAGATATTGCTCAATTGTCAAGAGCACTTTCTGCTCTTCCAGGAACCCCCATTTAGATCCCCAAATCCACAGGGCCTTTACAACTGTATGTAATCATGGCTCCAGGGATCTGATGTCTCTGTCTTTTCTGCCTGCCTGCTTTCAGATATGTATAACCATATATATATATAACCATGTGTAGGCATGAACTCTTACACATAATTGAAAACAATCTAAAGTTTCTAAAAGATCAAAATTATTTGAGCGAACATGTGGGAATTGAGGGTTTTGAATTGGGATTTGCATAACCTCATCATTTCCCTTTCTTTCAATGCTCTTAATAAAAATGTAGCAAAGATCCTAATTTTATCTTGTGGGTACGTCTATATTAGAAACAGAAGATGTCTTGTCATTCATCAAGGTGACGGAAGCCAAGCCACATGTCTTGAGTCTCCATACACCTTACAGGTTTAGGGACCTAATTTAGATTTTATCTGAGTCTGGCACTCATTACCTTTTGAGAGCGCAGACACTAAGTGAACACCTGACAATGAGTCTGTAACGTGACGGTGTTTACTTGCTGAACTGTGAGAAGTCTGGGTAGAATCACGCTGCTTGCTCATCCAGTCTCTAGGTGCAAAGCTGGATGGCTGCACAGATCTTGATACAGGGCTCCGTGGTCCTGGTGATACCAGCCTCAGGCATTGGTCCGCTGAGTTCTCAAAGTCAGATACTGTCACATCTGAGCCCATCAGGCCACCATCTCCCCAGGTCATGGTTGAAACAGAATGAAAATCCCCTAAAGATTGCATTTCTCTTTTTACTACTCCATTTAGATAACCCACTTCAGTTTATGTTTTTCTACTTTAGATGTTAAAACCAGTGGAGGGCAACAGCTTGCTCGCTCTACTCTTTCACTGTTTTGAGATTGCCAAATCTGCTCTTTGTATGTATGTATGTATGCATGTATTTACTTTGGCCTACATGGATGAATGGTATGGATATACAGTGCCTATAGAAGACAGAAGAGGTTATCCGATCCCCTGGAACTGGAGTTACAGATAGTTGTGAGCCACCTTGTGAGTACTGGGAACTGAACCTAGATCCTCTGGAAAAATGGTGAGTGCTCTTAACCACTGAGCCATCTCTCCAGCCCTAGCTCTTAGTACTCCGAACAGGAAAACAGGATGTTTGTAAGGATTTTATGCAGCTATGATAAAATGTCAATTGAATCCTATGTGTGGTTGGATCAGTTAGGCTCAGTTACTGAGCCTAGCGAGCATTTCGCTCACATCCCAGGGCAGCTTCCTTGTTTCTCGTTGCGGCATCATAGAATAGAAACAATGTGCTGGGAACGGCAATGTGGGGCCGGTGTGAATCTGTGGAGGGTGCTAGATACCCGTGTCTGTAAGTATCCTAAGGAAATGAACCATCTTGTACAGAAAGTGTACACTACAGTAGAGTAGGGATTGTTCTAGAATGGTAGGCAAGAAGTATGCGTTTGTTGACCTGTGTGTTTTAGAGGCAGAGTTGTAATGTCCATTGGGGGAGGAGGGAAAGTTGCTTTCACTGGGTGCCAGTTTTTCTGCTTGGATTCCCAGAAGGTAGGTGAACTGACTGCTGTTTTTTTTTTTTTTTTTTTTTTTTCTGAAGCTTAGAGTTTCCCTTTGGGTAGTGATAATAGTGTGTACACATTTCATTTTCTGTATATAATTTTGTTTCCTTCTTGACTTCAAGAAGCAATAAAGTGCTCTGGTCTTGTCATCCTACTTGCAGGCTGATTCTCACTCTATTGTCTAGTTGTCGTGCTTTACCAGAGCAGTCCACAGTTTGCAGCCTCTGCTCTTTGTAGCGGAGAAGTGAAGGAGACAGACAGCCTCCCCCTTTCCTCTACACGTGCCCACTGTTACTAGGTTCGGAGTGACTGTGGGTATTTGTGCTTCGCTTCTCCACCTTCAGTTAGGTACAAGATGTCATCGTTGTAAGTCACTCGTGTGTTATTTTAGGGTTTGTCTTAGAGCCAGGGTGCTGAGATACCATTTTATCTTAAAGTGTGAAGTTTCAAAACGTGAACGCGTACATTGTTAATCTACTTCTGCGTGTACGTGTTTGCGAGAGTGTGGGCACACGTGTTCTGGTACACATACGGAGTTCAGAGAGGAACTTCAGGTGCTGGCCCTTGCCACCAGTATTGCTTGAGATGAGGACTCTGTTGTTGGTTGCCGTGTACACCACCCAGGGTAGATGGCCTGCAAGCCTCCAGGACTCTCCTGCTCTCCTCTCTCCCTCTCTTCTCACCACAGGGGCACTGTGATTACAAATGTCTGACCACTGAGCCCAGTGTCAGAATTCTGGGTACTCAAACTTAGTGTTTCGGATGTGTAAGAGCTCTGTCTGTGGAGTTGTCTTCCCAGTTCAGGTGTGATTTACTCTTAATGTAATAAATGCTTCAGGAATTTCATAAGAAAAACTCTTCAAAGGTGTGTGAAGCACATTCCTTCTGTAGGTGGAAAAAACAGGGGACCACAAACCTATGAGCTTTAGACTATCCGAGATTGCTTTGTCCCTGTGCCTGTGTGTGTGTTAATGTTAGTGAGGCATAGACAGACTACTGTGTAGCAATGGAATAGACAATTTAGATAGAACAGAACATTTACATCTTTATATTGGCCAACATTTGGAGAATTTCTCGAATGTTTTATTCAGTTTTTCTTCGTGAATTTGGGGAGCACATAAAAATGGGGAGCAGATTACAAAGAGAACAGAAAATATCACAAAACTCATCTTATAAATATATGCACTTTGAATTGCTGGTGGAACTGAATCTCTGCTACAAGACAGAGAGAGATCTTTGGGATGAGAGGCAAAGGGAGGGTCATGGACTTAAAGGATTTACAGGATACAATACCATGGTGGTGTTGGGAGCTGCTTCTCTTAGATTGGGCAGAGGATAAAACAGGATAGAATCTATTTAAATAGCAGTGGGAGAAATTTAGCTTTGAGGTAGGGATTTAGCAACTGGACTAAAATCATTGCTACATGACAGTGATCCTTGCGGCTACATGGTACTGTAACAAGAAAAGTCATTTGGCTCATTGGTTAGTTGCCTGGTTTTGTTTCATGAGTCTGTAGTGTGTGTGTGTGTGTGTGTGTGTGTGTGTGTGTGTATGTGTGTTTTCAGTTCTTTTATTGTGCTTCCTAGCTACAAAATGAGTAAAATGAGGACAAACAGGATTATTTTAATGAACACAACTTATGCCATTTGCAGTGTCTGAGGGCTCTGCCGAGCTGAGTAGAACCTGACTCTCACCGGCTCCTTGCCTGCTTGCTTGTGTGGTGACATTAAATGAACACATGGCAGTTTAAGTTGACATTTGGAATGAGACTATAACAAAGTGCTAAACACACACATTTTGGATATATGAGAGTAAATGAAAAATCTTTCAAGCCAACTTTATTCATTTTCCATTTATCTTGTTTTAAGATGTCTGCTGGGTAACTGAAAATTATAAAGGTGACCTTCATTTTATTTGTTTAGGACGATGGTGACGATGAAGAAGGTTAGGTGAACCTCTCAGTAAAAATCAGGGTGTGAATGTTTTCGGGTCACAGCTCAGATCTTTGCCTAAGTTCCTACTCAGCTTTGCTGTTGAAGACAGGGGTAACTACGTAATGTCCGGGGAGACTTGGCCTTGCAGCAGCAAATGGTGGCCCAGGCATCAGACGCTGGCTGTAGTTTGCTGACCTATGGTCTAGTAGAGATCGTTGCGCTGGAAAGTTAGTATCAGGAGGACCTGAAAAGAATCTTTAGCTTCCCTTCCTTCTATGTCTGAAGTTTTAATAAAGTCATTTATTTTAATTTCATGTACTTGTGTATATGATGTGACTGTAAAATATATACGTAACTGTGATGGAATGTAAATTGGAATGATTTGTGTCAATGCACTATATTCTATTCCTGTAGAGAAAGCGGCACTTGTGTTGCTGGGGACACCATCGTCGGTGACATAAACAAATGACAGCAGCCAAAACCCTCTGCAAATTATGATTTCCTGTACAATTGAGTATTTCAATACACAATTGATTGTATGAATTAGTGTGTACGTGTGTGTGTAACAGAAAGTTAAGAGCAAACATATTACAGGAAGCCTATGGTCTACCTGTGCTTATCCTACAGCCTTGCTTGCACATTCTCTCCAAGAAGATTAGGACCTTTGTTCCAATCCCTGC